ATGAACCAATTTACTCGCGGAAAGACGCTTCATAGCCAAACAACAGAAGTGATTGCGAATGTTTATAGGTTTTTAATAATAATATGCAATAATTGTAGTTTTTGACGACTGAGTCTGAATATAAATAAAAAACAAGGAAATGCTAAGCTAACATTCTGATGATTATTTATAGGGTTTGCGATGAGGAAGCGGCAAACAATTCCCTCAAGTTGCTGCTTAAACGTAAGCTTGATAGGGTGTCCCTTTATACCGGATTCGGAGTATCTTCTGTTAGGAAAATTCATAACGAAGATAAAGAAAGACTAGAAAATACCCCAATAAAATGTTATCCAGTCCCGGGAAAAAAGGACCGGGTCAGTCTCTTGTTGAGAAAGATGAAGATTTTGATTTTCAGATTACTAGACATTTGATAAACAGATTTTATCTTGAATATACAGTTATCCCGACAACTAGGAAGTTATTACAAAAGTTGAGAGAAGACTCAAATTTCCCCTATTCTAGGGAAACACACAGGAGTTTATTAAAATCAAATGTTTTTTTTTTTTTGGCGCAAATGACAAAATGTAAGAAAAGTTTTGATAGAGGCCTAATATATTGCAATGGAGGTACAAATACATCCGTGAGATACGTAGATATCGTGAAGAAGGGCACAATATTGTTTATTTGGACGAAACCTGGGTGGAAAATGACTTGACTTTCAAAAAATGCTGGCAGAGCGAAACTGTTTCTGGTGTAATAAGCAGTATAGGTTCTACAGGTAAGCAAAAATGCTATATATATCTTAAATTTAACTCTGATTTGTAACATATTATATAATCGTCTTGTATATTTTAGGTCGACTCATTATAGTGCATGCAGGTTCAGAAAATCGATTTGTTGACAATGCCTGTTTGATATTTAAGGCGGGATTAGCTACAGGCGATTACCACGGTCAGATGAATCGGGAAAATTTCACACGCTGGCTCACCGAAAAACTCCTCCCGAATATACCTGCCAATTCGGTTATCGTATTTGACAATGCCCCATATCATTCCGTCCAGGAAGATAAAACCCCGACAAAATCATCTTCGAAAAAAGATATAATGGCCTGGTTGACAATGAAAGGTACTTATGACTCAAAACATGCATGTACATATCAAACTATACAATAAAATATTTTATAGGCATAAATCATGAGGCAACTGAGAGAAAATTTTACTTGTTCGATCTGGTCTTACTTCGTAAGCCCCCTGACAACCAAAAAAATTATGTATTTGATCGGATCATAAGATCACATGGACATACTCCTCTAAGAACACCTTCTTATTATTCAATAGAATTAGCTTGGGCAAAGCATAAATTTCATATAAGAAGCCGCAATACCACTGGAAACTTCAGTTTAACCGCACTGAAAGAAGTTACTCAGGAAGCGATGTCCTTAATATCCATTAATGATTGGCAGAAATTTTGTCAACATGTTAGGGACATTGAAGATAAATTTTGGGAAAATGATCAATTTATGGAGGAAATGGAACCAGTTATAATAACTATAGGGCAAGATGACGACAGCGAAACTGATGACGACAGTGACGATGATGATAATGATGAAGTTGACGAACACCAATGGTAATTCAATAGGTGAAATGTAATTTTGAAATGCTGTATAATGTAAGTATTATTCATTACAGAGGTTATAAGTTAAACATATATGAAATATGTTTAAAGTTCTTTGTTTCTATTTAAGCGACACCGATGCTCTAGAAATATCCACATCAACAGTCCAAAATTGCAACAATAGGAATCCAGAAAGATGCGGATTAAAAAAGAAAAGTTAATTCTGGACATGTTTCGGCTTGTGGCACTTTTTAAAGTAAATGAGCATATTATAAGATCACGGATGTATAATATATATATATATATATATATATATATATTATCTAAAGTTCAAAAACCACGTTAAGTATCTATTTGTATTTGAAAAATATATTTTATTTACGGCTTTGACAAAAACGCTAGCTTGATTTTCAGATTAGGTTTTAAATCGCGCAGTTATCATGATTTTTTGAATTGTGGCAATTTTGGGAAGTGAGTAGACATTTTTCCGTTTGTTGAAGTGTAGAAACAAACTCAAATGTTTTTTTACATGGTGTAGACTGTAGAGAACAGCTATTTTTGAGTTTACCCGAGACTTTATTTATTATTATGGACAATGCTCCATATCATTATGGCTTATTGAGATACTTCCCAAATTTAAAGTGAAACATAAACGTATAGTTTACTAAATTTAAACCAATTATGAGATAATCCCAAACTTTTATAAAATACCGCACGCCGCTGGCATTTTATGAATGAAACCAGCCATGTTTTGCTTTCCCCTCACCGATACCCCGATGTTGCAGATCCGTTTGCCAAACTTTACTTCTCCGTGTCAGAACTCTATTTTGAGGTTATGTCAGTCAAACATCTATTTGCATCAAATTGTGCTTGCTTTTGAGTTATATCATGTTTTATCAGCCTGAAATTTCCTACAGTTTAAAAAGAAAACATATCTTTACAATAGGAGAGCGCTGACGCTGACACGGGACAAGTGTAATCTAGAAGCCTTAGGCCCGTATCGTCAGTCGTCCCTACAATTGTAGGGCGCGTTTATGGCCTCCTTGACTGTCATCCTCCTTTCTCTCCTTCAAAAATTTCTAAATTACACTTGTCCCGTGTCAGCGTCAGCGCTCTCCTATTGTGAAGATATGTTTTCTTTTTAAATTGTAGGAAATTTCAGGCTGATAAAACATGATATAACTCAAAAGCAAGCACAATTTGATGCAAATAGATGTTTGTGATATAACCTCAAAATAGAGTTCTGACACGGAGAAGCAGAAAACTATGACAATCAAGGAGGCCATAAAGGCGCCCTACAATTGTAGGGACGACTGACGATACGGGCCTAAAATACCCCCTTGAACAACTTGCATCAATAAAACCCGACGTTATAATTATTAGAGGAAATTTGTTAGAGTAAAGGGCGGGTCGTAAGGATTGATCAATTTGTATGAATGTAGTAGCAAAATACTTCTGGAGAAAGTTTGTGTTTGGATATCAATCAAAATACCGGTTTTGCAATAAGATATTCGATAGCAGAGCACAGTGTATTGCCATTTAAAGCTCGCACTTGTTTAAAAACTCGGAACATCAACACTTTTAGCTTTTGCTCATCCAGCAAAACCAGCAAAGTACAACGTTGCACTCAATGATGCGATTTTTGTCTGAGAACGCAACCCCTTGAACAACTTGCACCAATAAAACCAGACTTTACAATGATTTTGGGGAAATTTACTGATATGATTAAACTAATATTACAATTATTGAACACGTACTGAATTAGTTTTAATGTGTGTGACTGCTAGATGGAAATTGTCCATAGGAATACGTCTTTGTACTATGACTGCAGGTATGAAAATGGCGGCCAGGAACACGTCTTTGTGCAATTAGTCAACGATACCGATTTGACAAATTTATTTATTTATGCCACGGAACAAAATCGGCGAGAAGTGTAGTTTTAATTTAAGGTTTGTGGCTTTAAGATGGAATGCTTGGAATGTGATGGCTATCAGTTGTAGTGTTGATGATTCTCGTTACTAATCGTTACTCTTCTACAAAGTAGATTTCATTGTATTGTAGTACTTTGATTACTATGAGTATGAGTAGTATGAGTATAACGATTTGCAAAATTTTATTCAAATCTGCCGTGTTTAATGTAAACATCGTATCTTCAAACTTTATGCAAAACGAGATGGGTTATTATAGGATAGGGGGTCATAAGACTCATATGAGCCTAAAATCTGAAAATACTTTGTATTTACTAGAAATGCTTAAAAAGCATGTCTCTCAGTTAGAAAGATGATCTTTATATATGGGCTTAAGGAAATCCGGAATGGCAAGTAACTTTTCGAAGCATTTCAAAAAAGCATGTAGCGGTATGAAAAAGTCTACGCGAAGCTTAGTATATACATACTATTCGAAGTCATACTGAATTATAAATGTTTAGCAAAATGTGGGACAAGTAAACACGAATCAAATTGACATAATTTGTATCATTGTGGTTTTCATGAACAGAGGGCTGTTACCCTGTTGTCGCTTTTCTTACTCATAATACTGCCGAACTTTGCTCCAATCCAATCGACTCCTTATTCCTTTTCAGGTTGCCAAGATCACAACAATAAGAGCGAATTTGGGTCATGGTGTAAATAGGTACAATATTTATTTTTTATTGGCGGGTATAGAATTTGATAATTGTTTTTAAATCTGGAGTTTCCAGGTTTCCCTCTGAAGTTGGGATGTCTGGCTACCCTAATGCATGAGCGACAGTGCTACAGTGATACCTAATATGGCAGAAACCAGCGTCGCCACAAAACGATGAACGATTGTACGTGAACCGGGTACGGATACGGAAAACAGAGCAATCAAAGTAATCATTTCGTGCTTGGATTGATACGCCTTCGGGTATAGTTGTAGTCACCATTCTTGGTGGTTACGTCATCAACGTCATATGAAATAAGTAAGCCGATCGAGTCTCCGTACCATGGGCGCAGACTAATCTTCAGTGCATCTGCTACTCTCTCCTGGAAATACTCTGATAAATTTAGCACGAGCTGTCGGTCTTCTCCATTGATCGTATTTCCGGGCATTGTACAATTTTATACTGAAGATTGATAACAGGACAACTCAAATTGCACGCCGATGTCAAGGTGGTCAAGTAAGTTGTCACTCTGACAAATATGATTGAAGGGCTCTCATACGTGACGACAAAGTTTTCGAGACGGAGATATACATCTAAAAAACGTATGTCTTTGAGCTTAGCAAACAAATGTTAACAGACACTGGTTGCAAGAGTATGTTTGAGGGAGATGGAAATATATAAATGGATACTGGTAGTCTTGCTCTGACCGGCCAAGAACGGTGACTACAACTATATGTATGAGTAACGAGTACTCGAGTAACGAATACTTACTTTTTCAACACCTCTATTTTTTTGTAGTTGTCGCTGTCAGTGTTAGTGCTGTCAGTGTCAGATCAGGATTTGTGGTTGTCATCGATGATTTGGTATTTGTATTAGGAAAAATTCTTTAATCATATTTAATAATCGAGTGCATACAGATACAAAAAGATCATCCTATCCTGGAAATTTAAATCTTGAATCGTGGTAGAATTTCAGAATGATGGCAGAAGCGGACAGTACAACGGACGCGACTCGAAGATTGAACGTGAAGAAACAAACCTTGGACGACGCTTATGCAGCTCCGGCAAATTTTCTAGAAATTGACGTTGTAAACCCTGTTACAACCATTGGGGTAGGAAAGAAACGATTTACAGACTACGAAGTGAAAATGAGGGTAAGTTTGATTAACTATATGCTGACGGCCTTTCCGTGGAGGTTATCTAATATCATACACCCCTCTTTGCACTTTATCTTTAAAGGTCACAATCAGTTGCACCTTATTTGACAAAATCCTGCTTTATATTTACAAATATGTTGTTGATTCATTTATAAGAAGCTTTCTTATTTGTTGTGTAACATATTGCACCTTTCTATTGATAAAAATATGAAGTTATTATTGGATTATGTGTTTTTATGCAGTTAATTGGATTGAATAAATGTATACAGTAGAATCTAACCATAAATGATAGCAAACCCACAGTTTCTTTGTCCCAGTGTCTACCTTTGCACTCAAATAAATAAGAAAATTAATTTAGTATGACAACAATCATTTATTCCAGGAAATGTAATTTGGTTTTATATCAATAAAAGACAATATGGCATTTGAAAAGACAAGTAAATATTATAGTTATTACTTGTTTTTATTTATCCCAACATGGCCCAATGTTAGAAGGACTGGGAAAATTCAACCTCAGGTAGATTATTCGATAATCTCAATACCCTAGGAACAAAAGAGTAGTTGTATCAGCATGGTTCAGATGCAGGACAGCTCTGAGGATCATAGCTATAGAAGAGAGCTAGATTGCTGATAGCCAGTCAATGGAAAAAGGTCCCGATCAGGTGGACAGCCCTTCTCTGAACAGCTTTGAGCATGGATAATGTAGTTGGGATGGCAGCACCCCAAAACATGTGACCAGTACTAGGTCCTTGCATGTCAAGGTACAGCACTGTGTTTGGAAGAATTAAACTGTACCAGATTGTTGCATCCACAAGCAGTCATAACCTTCAGGTCTCTCTTCAGAGGAGAAGTTGCTGCTAGTCTTGTTTTCTCCCGCTCACTGTCAGCCACCCATATGCAAACATTTTCATGATGTCAAGAGCAACAACATGAGCCTCACCATAAGATTGAATGATTTTAGGCCACAGTTGTATAGCATAAGCTAGAAGGTTCGTCATGAATGGCTGGTGCCAGACCACCATACTACCTCATACTAATCATGCCATGACGTTCAAGGTACTCCGGATTTATGCACCTCTTGCATCACATTACTTATAACAGAAAAGAGAGCTGTAGGCCTGTAGTTGTAAGGGTTGGTTTTAGATATTTTTTTTTGGGATGAGCTGGACATAAGCAAATTTCCAGTTTTGTTGGAAAGTGCCAGTTTTCTAAAATGTCTGGAAGAGGCATAAAAGCACAGGAGCAGGTTGTAAGGTTCTTTTAAGTCAGGTGGATGGCCCTTCTCCTAACAGCATTGAGCATGGATAATGTAGTGGGGATGGCAGCACCCTAAAGATGTGAGCAGTACTAGGTCCTTGTATGTCAAGGTACAGTACTGCACTTGGAAGCTTTAAACTGTCTCCAGGACTCTCTTCAGAGGGGAAGTTGCTGCTTGTCTTCTTTTCGCCAGCTCACTGTCAGACACCCATATGCAAAGTTTCTCTGGGTAGGATACAGGCATGACCACCCATATAGCAAAATCCAGGGGGATGTTTGGTTTACAGGTTGTGCAGGATCAAAAATGCAACCTGTTGGTGACAATTGAAGACTGGGAGGGGGTGTACAACTATTCATGTTGGAATGTTCTCTCACCCCACTTCTTACCCAAGTATTGGGTATCTTATTAGGAGTATTTCACTCTGAAGCAGGATCCAAGGGGGCATATGCCCCCCCCCCCCCCCCCCAATGGGCGCCCATGGACACAGGATAGAAGTTTTTAAAAGTGAGCAGTATGCCATAGCTGTCTGAATGGAAGAAAGTATCAAGTACTATATTATAATACAGCAAGGGAAAGTCCATAAAGTGTTAATACTTGTTCTATGTGGCCCCAGTTAATTCTCATTCTCATGGCTGACTTTTATGTATACTTTGTAAAATATTACAAGGTAATATTTAGCACTGCTAGACACCTCCCATTGCTCATAACTTCTACCAGGCATCTTGAAACGCCAAAAAAAAAATATATATATACGAGCCCCTTCTCACTTCAGTTGGCCCACTTCAAGATTTGTACCAAAATAAGCCTTTATAAACTAAACATAACGAAACTATTTACTTCTAAAACAATTTATTTTCTCAAAAACATTTAAGATACACTCTAGTCATAAAAAATACATATTTGAAATCACTTATACCTATAACTAATAGAACATCTGAACAAATAAACAATATGCGAATAAATCTGCGAAGTTAACAAAAAAACAATTGAAAGATTACCATTTTGTAACATCACCTTTATTTTTTATTACAGTTGAAATTCTTTGGGGCATAGTGTTAACCAGGTTTTGGCAAAAATTTGGTGTAAAACAATCCCATATTTCTTGAAGCTTTTGCCTCAGTTCGGTGATTATACGAGCAGGATGTTGTCGTAGAACCTTTTTCATCTCATGCCACAAAGTTCCAATAGGTGACAGATCGGGACTGCTAGAAACCCATTTCAAAAGTGGTACATTATTTTCTTCCATCCATTTTATAGCCCTTTTTGAGGTATGGCATGCTGCACCATCTTGCTGAAACACAAAATCTTGGCCAGATGTCAAACATTCTTCCATCACTGGTAAAAGCGATTCTTCTAAAATTGCCAAATATTTGTTTGTATCCACATTTCCATCAATAAAATGAAGTTTTCCTACTCCTTTTGATGACATACTAAACCGTTATATATAAACGTTATATCTTCTAACAATATTTCTCACACTACCGCGATAAGTCTAACAAAGTTGCAATTTCTGAGTTTGATTTCCCAAAAATTTAATTATCAGTAACCGAATTTTCTCACTAATAACCTTGCCTCTACCCATTTTGCAAAACCTTAACTACCCAAAACTATTTTAAACGTATTCTGACAGCTGTGATTAATAAAAACAATTGTCATGACTTTTACAGCCACCTATGCGTCATAGACTTATTTTGCACTGAAATGAAAATAGGTTGATATGCTGTAATTGCAACACGTGTTATTTTTATGCTGCAAATTTGGTTAGGGAGTGATAAAGTTGGTGTTTTCTACTATATATTATCAAAATATTCATTGTTAATATTTTAAACCTATAACACCCTGCTACATTTTTATTATTTGTGTTTGATAAGAAAAAATAATTGGGCCAACTGAAGTGGGAAGGGGCTGGTATGCTAAAAAAACAAATTATTACGTTTCAATGCGAAAACCTTTACTGAAGCTTTACTCATTACTGTGAAAAAATATACCAGACTGAATCAGCAATTTTTTTTTATATATCGAAGCAGCCGCGCAGGCAGAAGCCTAAATGCCGGAACACCGCGGCTGCTATGATGTTCCCAAATAAATTTTGATTATACGATTTTCGAAGTGCCTAAGGTTAGTAGAACTGGGAAAAGCTTCCTCTTGTAGATTGTTCCACAATCTCGACACCCTCTGGACAAAAGAGCGGTCGTATCAGCCAGTTCTGGATGTACGAAGTTCGACACGCTTAGGATGGGACGTCAAAGTCAGGCGGGTCTGTCTGGCAGGCACATTGCGCGGCGGCATCATGGCAGAGAGCTCTGAGGAGCAAAGCCCGTTGGTGTAGCGATAGAAAAGATCTAGATCGCCGACGGCCTGCCGGTGCGAAAGAGTCCCGAGACTGTCTGTTACAGAAGAGTCATCGATCAGTCGGACCGCCCTCCTCTGGACAGCATCGAGCATGGATAATGCAGTCGGGTTGACAGCACGCCAAACATGTGAGCAATACTCGAGGCTAGGCCTTATCTGGGCCTTGTATAGAGTGAGAAGGTCATGCGGAGAAAAGTACAGGATCCGGCAATGAAACGGGAAGATTTGGGGCGGGGCTTGCAGCGGGCGGTGAAGTGGTAGGGAGGACAGTCACAGACCTGTCGGGACCCGAGTGGCTTGCCATTTAGTCTACAATGGAGCGTTGGACGGGTGAGCATCGCGGTTACGCAATTAAGGCTTATTACCAAAATGGCGAGAGTTTAGTGCAAACGCGTCGAGATTTTAGACGGCATTTTAACATACCGCGTAACTAACCGGTTCCGTCAGACCATGCGATTCGAATGGGGCTAAACAACCTCGAGCAAACTGGATCGACGTCTAGAGAAAGAGGTGGTAGTGCCAGAACGATTCGAACCCCTGAAAATATTGAACGTGTTCGACAAGCCATTTTAAGAAGTCCACGTCGATCGGCCATCCGTCACGCCACACGCCTTCGATTAAGTGACAGATCGGTGAGAAGGATTATCCATCAAGATCTTCGATATCACCCGTATAAAATACAGGTTGTTCAATCTCTTCACCCGGATGATTATTAACAGCGTCTCAGATTTTGTGAGGTTATGCTTGCAAGGCTGGAAGAAACTGATGACCAGGTTAACAACTTGTGGATGAGCGATGAGGCACGTTTTCACCTCTCCGGTTTTGTTAACAGACAAAATTTTAGATACTGGGCGGAGGCTAACCCTCGTATGCTTCATGAATCACCTCTTCATGCTCAGAAAGTGACAGTATGGTGTGCAACGTCTGCAAATGGAATCATCGGTCCGTATTTTTTTGAGGATGAGGCTGAAAATGCCGTTACCGTTAATTCTGAGAGACACGTTTCAATGATTCGGAACTTCCTCACACCTGAACTCTACCGCTTTCCAGTTAATGAACACACACTTTTTCAACAAGACGGTGCAACAAGCCACACTGCAAGAATTTCGATGAATGCGGTGAATGCTTTGTTCCCAGGGCGTGTCGTTTCTCGAAACGGGGATATTGCTTGGCCCCCTCGGTCTCCCGACCTTACTGTCTGCGACTCCTTTTTATGGGGTTATCTGAAAATGAAAGTGTTTGAAACTGATCCACCCAGGACAATCCCGGCCCTCAAACAACGAATTCGTGACGAGATTGCAGCAATACCTGTTGATATGCTGCGAAGAGTTATGCAGAACTTCCAGGCTCGACTCCATGAATGCATACGTGTCAACGGAGGCCATTTGACAGATGTAATTTTCAAAAAATAATGTTTTTTAACATTGTATATCAAATGGCTACTCTTTTATTTGCCAGTTTGGTATTACTAATTAAAAAAAAATATTTTTTCGATAATAAAATTATTTACGAAATCTTCCCGTTTCATTGCCGAACCCTGTACTTCTTAGCCCTAAACAAATAGCCTAGCTTTTTCTCAGCAGCTGCAGCTATTGACGAGATGTGTTCGTGCCAGATCAGGTCCTCGGTGATCTGGGCTCCGACCAGCCGAAATGAATGGCTCTTTGGCAGAACTCGGTAGTCCATCGAAACGGGATGAGCGCTAGAACGCTTTTTGTTCGTCAAAGTACAGTAAAGTGTTTTGGAAGCATTGAACTGTACAAGATGGTTGCGTCCCCAAGCAGTGATAGCCTCCAGGTCTCTTGTCAGAGAGGAAGTCGTCGCTAGTCTTCTTTTTTCCAGCTCAGCGGCAGAGATCGGCTTGTCACTCTGAATTTCTGCATGTAGAGTGCTGTCATCAGCGAAGCTGTGGATTGGGTTGATCGTGCCGGAGAGGAGGTCGTTGATATGTAAGAGGAACAGTGTTGGAGTCAAGACCGATCACTGGGGAACACCCGCGTTGACGTTGTGGGATGAAGAGGAGAACCCTTCAATTACGACGGATATCTTGAGATAAACTCAGCCACCCATCTGCAAAGCTTTTCTGGGAGGCCATAACATGGAAGTTTGCTTAATAGGTCAGCGTGCCACAGCTGATCGAACGCTTTTATGATGTCAAGAGCAACGACATGAGCCTCACCATAAGACTGGATGAGTTTACTCCACAATTGCGTGACGTAAGCTGGATGGTCCCGTGTGGATCCATTTCGAAGCAGGATGACACTCCCCAATGAGCGCTAGTTGGGTACTGACCAAAATCGTTCATCTGTGATCATAGAGGTGGTAACCTTGCCTTGAAATGTACAAGATGCGGTGTTGCCAATCGATAATGACACAATGTTGCTAAATTAATAATTATTCGAGGAAATTTTATCATTGCATTACGAGGTTTCGGGGTTAGCAATAGTTTATGCGTAAAATTTAAGTAATGATACCCTACTAAATCTAGCATTTTCATCCACTTAGTGCCTCATTTTTAGCTGGAACGTCATCAAATTTAGGCAGTTGGAATATATATATATATATATATATAACAAAAAATAGGAGAATGAACAATATCCGAAAAATGCAGGAAAGTGGATTCAAGCAGCAAATAGGATAGGTAATCCGAGCGATACGTATTTCTGCTGGTTGGCTTCATCAGGCCCGAAATGAATGCACATATGCAAGTAAAAAAGTAGAAACATGCCCATACATCCGGATACGGCTGTAACCTGAGGAAACGAAGATGGAGAGTGTAAAAATGACACACAAAGTCCACAACAAGAGCCATTTGTAGATCCTTTGGGCTTGAAGTACCACAGCTTGAGGCTATAACCGGCCGCCGTGGTTGTGGTTAGATGTCGCCTTGAAAATTCGAGGTCTTCTAGCCATTTTATACTACAGTGTGTAGGTTGGCTCTTGTTGTGGACTTCGGGTGTCATTTTTACCCTCTCCATCTTCGTTTCCTAAGGTTACATCCGTATCCGGATGTATGGGCATGTGTTTCTACTTTTTTAGTTGCATATGTGCATTTATTTCGGGCTCGATGAAGCCAGCCAGCAGAAATATGTATCGCTCGGGTTACCCATCCTATTTTCTGCTCCAATCCACTTTCCTGCTTATGGCGGATTTTGCCCATTATTTTCCTATTTTTTGTTATATACCTTTCTCCGCATGATCATTTTCTCTCTCTCTCTCTCTATATATATATATATATATATATTTGAATCACTTAAACAATATTTTTACTAAAATAATCTAATGATGGAAAATACACAATAGTAATTTCGAAAATGAGATTTGTTTTTTGGGTGTGATATGACATGCATATGTACATGACAAAAAACCGTATCTCTCATTTCCGTCGGTCTATCTTTCTGCCGGTCTATCCGCAAATCATTCGATAGTAAAATAATGTAATTTATATATCCTATGTACTATGCCCATTACGTTGTACTTGTTTTCAGACTAATCTGCCGGTATTTAAAGTAAAAGAGTCAAGTGTCAGACGAAGATACAGCGATTTCGAGTGGCTACGTAATGAATTAGAGCGAGACAGTAAAATTGTAGTTCCTCCACTACCTGGCAAAGCATGGAAACGTCAGCTGCCTTTCAGAGGAGATGACGGTATTTTTGAAGAGGATTTCATTGAAGATAGGCGGAAAGGATTAGAGGTTTTCATTAATAAGTGAGTATACATTATTTCTCCGATACTTCATCGCGTGAAAACGCGCCAACAAATAACAGCTTATTGTCATCAATCACAGTCATATTAACACGTTCAGTGCGAACAGCGTCAAAAGACGCCCTCCGCTCCTGTGGTGGGAGGCGAACGGCGTCTTTCGACGCTCTCTGCCGGCTTCCAAAAAAAGGAAAAAAGTATTTCAGTTTCTGAGGTGGGTATCCTCATCCCAGTTCGCAGTCAATGTGTTAAAAAGGTAGGGTGTTCTGTGGACGTAGTTTATTGTTGTTTTTTGTAGTATTTCATACTTTGCAACAACTCTTTTATGTTATATGATGTATCGCATAAAGTCAGTCAGTAGAAATATTTATGTGAAAATCAATCCTTATCATTGTTTGGTGTAAATAGTTCTGAATACAGTCCTAGGTTTCACCAAATTAATGATTATCAACAAATACAGGCTTATCTCAATTAGGCGTCAAAATGTGAAGTATCGTAGATAATAGTTAACATGTAAACGTATGCTTTAGAGCAGTACTTGAAATTGTGCCTAAAATGTATATTTATTTGTTTATTCACGGTTTTCCATTAGGTAAAAAAACATTACGTTTATGTGACAGATTACAATAGCTTTATATAGATTATTAAACTAATGAACTAGGGATTCATGTGAAACCAGACCTACTGATATTTAAAACCTAACAGACTAAAGTTAAATAGAAACATTTTTCATGTGCTTAATGCTTCCGAAAAATCTCTATTATAGCTTATAGCGACGTTGCCAGATCTAAGAATTCTTGTAACTTGTCCATTCATACCATAATTGATAGACTGATGTCGAATCGTAAACATTTATTTATTGCGAGTTCGTCTTTCATTAACATTAAGATTTGTTTGTACACGCAACTCTGGGCAATCTATGATACCATTAACTACTTTAAACAGAAAAGATAGATCAAAAGTTTCCCTCGGTATGTTCAACATACTCATTAATTCTGAACCATTCTGCCTGCTTTTAAAAATAAATCCTTGCACTGCTTCAATGAAGTTACTGTCACTAATGAAATTTGGCGACCATACCACTGTGTTGTACTCCAAAATACTCCGCACCAAGGAGCAGTATAAAATTCGAGAAACTTCTAAAGAGAGATGTTTGGTAGATCTAAAATATATGTATTATATTTGTCGCTTCAATCGCTGTTCTATAAAGAGCAAAAGTAAATTATGGGCCGAATGCTTAGTTGTTCCCTAAGGCTTCCTCACTATGAGGACAACTTATTTTTCTTTTCAGTATTAATATTTGGACGTGACAAATTATTCTCTAAAGGAATGATAGCGACCTTATTAAATCTGAGCAATGCTACTTCTCTTCCAAGATGTTTCCACGACGGTTGAAAAGTTGAAATTTTAAAAAGCAATTTATTAAATATCTATTATTTCTCAAGACAATGGTGCCTCAAATTGAAAAAAGCTGCCTTTTAGAAGAAGATATTTGACAACCTTCTTATTCCTTCCAAGTGACAAGAAAAAGAGGGGACTCCACACAAAAGGAGATCTGAAGTACCGACTATGATCAATTTCAACATTAGTAGTAGAAATATTTATTTAGCACTTTTGGCTACATAAATAGAATATAACAATTATAAACAGGTTAGAATTAGTATGCTCAATCAATCAACCCTTGATGGAAGAGAGATTTGCAACATATACTTTTTGGACATTATATTTCTTATGTAAATGATGCTCAGCATTTCATGATATTAATCTAGCTATTCATCGTGGAAATATATCATTTTTTCCTTTATAAATAAAGATCATTGCAAGGCATCTAATAAAATATTTTAATGCTCGGCTGACTGTTAATTTGTTGTTGATGATACAAACTTAATCCTCAAGATGTATTTATTGTAACACTGCAATCAATGCTGTCTGTTCTAGAATTGCCGGACACCCTTTGGCACAGAATGAGCGATGTTTGCACATGTTTCTGCAGGAATCACAGATTGATAAGAACTATGTACCAGGAAAAATTCGCAATACATAAGAGGGAAATAGGTCATCATAGCATGTACGTATATATTTATAATTAATTCATAAAGAAGAACATTGATTGAATTCCAAGTAATCTCATGTTTCTTTTAAATATTCCTATTTCTGCATTTGCCCAAACATATTAAAATTATATGTAAAATTAGGCTTGCCTACTTTTAGTAGCTCTATTTTTTACTAGGTTGTGTTCGTCCCCATTTTTATCATTGTCCTTTTGTATTTGACTATTGACAATTTTTGCATAATATAGTTTCCGACAACAGATTGCATTACGACACGCTGACTGGGAAGGGCTCCGAGACTTATTCTCCACCTCCACCTGGGAGAGATGCGCGGATGCGTCGGCTGTCTGTTCATCGATAACCGAAATTATCCGCGCTGGGATCCCTCTTACAGTGAACGTGCCTAAACCAGGGTCCAACGGCTGGTTCAACAAATCGTGCAACACTGCTCGTTAGCAGATGATCTTCTTACAAAACCCCACTGTAGAGAACAGAAACAAATATAACGAAGCGGTTCGCAATGCCAAAGACCAGTTCGATGTGAACATTAGACGCCATCGGTCTTTCTGGTTGCTGGTCAAGCAGATTTCCTGCTACCACTTACGTGCCAGGATGGAGCGATTGTAACCGACTCAAAGGCTAAGGCGGAAGTGCTTGCCCAGATCTTTGCTGCCAACTCCACCACAGACAGACGCCCGATTCAACGGGTTCGCTACACTGCGCTGGAAGTAACGTTCAGGCACAAGACCGTGATACGGGTGCTCTTGTCGCTCGACATCAACAAAGCTTCTGGTCCGGACTTTATTCCTGCCATTGTTTTGAAGAGGCGTGCAGCTGAGCTTGCTCCAGTTCTTTCGCGTACCTTCCAAGTATCCCTCCCCACCTTCCCAGAAAATTGGAAATTTGCTCAGGTTCAACCCAACCCACAAAAAGGATCTAAAACTGTCCCTTACAACTACAGGCCTATTACTCTGTTTTCTGTTATAAGTAAGGTGATGGAGAGGTGCATAAATCGGGTGTTCTTGAGTATTTCAAACGACACGGCTGGATTAGCGACAGGCAGTGTAGGAGAGCGCTGAGGCTGACACGCAACAGTAGAAATCTAGAAATACCCCAGCCATTTGGAAGGAGAGAAGATACTATGAAAATCAAGGAGGCCATATATGCGTCCTACAATTATTACTGTATGTCTAAATGTCTACTGATCCGAGTCAGCGTCAGCGCTGTCCGATTGTGAAGCTATGTTTTCTGTTTGGGTTGTCGAAAATTTCAGGCTGATATAACATATGATGTAAATCAAAAGCATGAACAATTTGATGCAAATAGTTATTTGTAATAGAACTTCAAAATAGAGCGCTGAGAAGGAAATCAGAAAACTATGAAAATAAACGAGGCCATAAAGGCGTACTATGGGGTTGTCCAAAACGGACGCAGGAAAGTAAACGCATATTAAAACAAGAAAGATTGATATTCAAATCAAGTTGGGTACTTTATTTTGAAGGTTCATTTATACCATTTATGTATGAAAAATAATATCGCTCAAATGTTCACCACGACTGGATTTACAGACGTCCACGCGATGGTCGAAATTTTCAATGACATTTTGCAACATGGTCGGTTCTATAGCATTTATCTCGGCAATGTTGTTTTTGAGTTCTTGGAGGGTGGCTGGTTTGTTGACGTAGACTTTGCTTTTCAAATACCCCCATAAAAAGAAGTCCAAGGGAGTCAAATCGCACGATCTTGGTGGCCATGGCACATTTCCTCTGCGCGAAATCACGCGATCACCGAAGAAGGACTGCAATCGATGGATATTGACGTTGGTTGTGTGGCATGTTGCACCGTCTTGTTGGAAATAAACATCGTCCATATCCATTCCTTCAAGTTGCGGCAAAAAATAGTCCTCTATCATCACGTGATATCGCTCAGAATTGACGGTAACGGCGTCCCCGGCCGCATTTTCGAAAAAGTAAGGTCCGATGATGCCTTTTGACCACAATGCACACCACACGGTCACTTTTTGAGGATGCATCGGCTGCTCTTGATACTCGCGGGGATTTTCGTTCGCCCAGATGCGGCAGTTTTGCTTGTTTACCGTCCCATTCAAAGTGAAATGCGCTTCGTCGCTGAACATGATTTTTGATGAAAAATTGGCATCAATTTGGCGGTGTTCAAGGAGCCAATCTGAAAACGTTCGGCGCGAAAAATGGTCGGCCCGACGCAGCTCTTGCGTCATTTGGATCTTGTAGGCGTGTACATTCAAATCCTTGTGGAGAATGCGGAGCAAACTGGTTCTCGAAATGCCCAATTCTTGGGATCGACGCGTTGTTGATTGTTTCGGATCGTCTCTCACACTCTCCTTCACAACAGCAATATTTTCCGGTGTGCGAACGCTCCTTGGCCGGCTAGAGCCTGGCAGATTTGCCACAGAACCTGTTGCCTCGAATTTACGCACCAGACGACCGATGGTTGTTTCGTTACCGCGGTGATTCTAGCAACAACGGCCAGCCAGCAACAAACGATAGTCCCTCTTCTCACCAGCGGCCGCGTCGCGCTGGACACCATCGCGCGTCGCTACAGCAGCGAAGCCGGCGCAACGTAAGCAGGCGGTGCGGCACCGTCTTCCCATGTAAAACGGTGTTATAGTATCTACACAAAATTATATACATTGTGTGTTGTCAGTGTTATCACACTATCTATCACATTCCGTGGCCGGGGCAATTTAAGCCTACCAGAGGGAGCGAAAGTTACCTACGAAAAGCACATGGAAATTTGAAAATTAAAATTCTCAATTTTTCTTCGAATCAACACCACTTTTTTTTTCACGAAAATCGATTCTACAATGCATCCTTCATATCCCGGATCGATTACATCTCGTGGCCGGGGCATATTAAGCCTACCAGAGGGAGCGAAAGTTACCTATACGAAAAGCACATCGAAATTTGAAAATTAAAATACTCAATTTTTCTTCAAATCAACACCACTTTTTCTTCACGAAAATCAATTCTACAATGCTTCCTTCATAGCCGGGATTGATTACATCTCGTGGCCGGGGCATATTAAGCCTACCAGAGGGAGCGAAAGTTACTTATACGAAAAGCACATGGAAATTTGAAAATTAAAATTCTCAATTTTTCTTCAAATCAACACCACTTTTTTTTCACGAAAATCAATTCTACAATGCTTCCTTCATATCCGGGATCGATTACATCTCGTGGCCGGGGCATATTAAGCCTACCAGAGGGAGCGAAAGTTACCTATACGAAAAGCACATGGAAATTTGAAAATTAAATTACTCAATTTTTCTTCAAATCAACACCACTTTTTCTTAACGAAAATCAATTCTACAATGCTTCCTTCATATCCGGGATCGATTACATCTCGTGGCCGGGGCATATTAAGCCTACCAGAGGGAGCGAAAGTTACCTATACGAAAAGCACATGGAAATTTGAAAATTAAAATTCTCAATTTTTCTTCAAATCAACACCACTTTTTTTTCACGAAAATCGATTCTACAATGCATCCTTCATATCCCGGATCGATTACATCTCGTGGCCGGGGCATATTAAGCCTACCAGAGGGAGCGAAAGTTACCTATACGAAAAGCACATGGAAATTTGAAAATTAAAATACTCAATTTTTCTTCAAATCAACACCACTTTTTCTTCACGAAAATCAATTCTACAATGCTTCCTTCATAGCCGGGATTGATTACATCTCGTGGCCGGGGCATATTAAGCCTACCAGAGGGAGCGAAAGTTACTTATACGAAAAGCACATGGAAATTTGAAAATTAAAATTCTCAATTTTTCTTCAAATCAACACCACTTTTTTTTCACGAAAATCAATTCTACAATGCTTCCTTCATATCCGGGATCGATTACATCTCGTGGCCGGGGCATATTAAGCCTACCAGAGGGAGCGAAAGTTACCTATACGAAAAGCACATGGAAATTTGAAAATTAAATTACTCAATTTTTCTTCAAATCAACACCACTTTTTCTTAACGAAAATCAATTCTACAATGCTTCCTTCATATCCGGGATCGATTACATCTCGTGGCCGGGGCATATTAAGCCTACCAGAGGGAGCGAAAGTTACCTATACGAAAAGCACATGGAAATTTGAAAATTAAAATTCTCAATTTTTCTTCAAATCAACACCACTTTTTTTTCACGAAAATCGATTCTACAATGCATCCTTCATATCCCGGATCGATTACATCTCGTGGCCGGGGCATATTAAGCCTACCAGAGGGAGCGAAAGTTACCTATACGAAAAGCACATGGAAATTTGAAAATTAAAATACTCAATTTTTCTTCAAATCAACACCACTTTTTCTTCACGAAAATCAATTCTACAATGCTTCCTTCATATCCGGGATTGATTAGATCTCGTGGCCGGGGCATATTAAGCCTACCAGAGGGAGCGAAAGTTACCTATACGAAAAGCACATGGAAATTTGAAAATTAAAATTCTCAATTTTTCTTCAAATCAACACCACTTTTTTTTCACGAAAATCAATTCTACAATGCTTCCTTCATATCCGGGATCGATTACATCTCGTGGCCGGGGCATATTAAGCCTACCAGAGGGAGCGAAAGTTACCTATACGAAAAGCACATGGAAATTTGAAAATTAAATTACTCAATTTTTCTTCAAATCAACACCACTTTTTCTTCACGAAAATCAATTCTACAATGCTTCCTTCATATCCGGGATTGATTACATCTCGTGGCCGGGGCATATTAAGCCTACCAGAGGGAGCGAAAGTTACCTATACGAAAAGCACATGGAAATTTGAAAATTAAAATTCTCAATTTTTCTTCAAATCAACACTACTTTTTTTTCACGAAAATCAATTCTACAATGCATCCTTCATATCCGGGATCGATTACATCTCGTGGCCGGGGCATATTAAGCCTACCAGAGGGAGCGAAAGTTATCTATACGAAACGCACATGGAAATTTGAAAATTAAAATACTCAATTTTTCTTCAAACCAACACCACTTTTT